TGGCTGACAAGATGGTCGAGGAGCTTCAGTTCCTTGTAGCCGAAATGACAGTTCTCCGGTCTTAGTCATGGGCCTACAGATCGAATAGTGACGAAGATGGACTAAAGTCGCTGTAATGTTGCTCAAAAGTCTGGGAAAAAACGACGTTATCTATATAGACGAGGCAGGATTCCCACTTCAGACCGAACAGCCCGGTGTCCATCATCATTTGGAACATTGTCGGTGCAGAGCACAATCAAAACATAGCACTTTAAATTCGTAGAGGCCATTGGGAATTTTGTGAATGCTGTTTTTTTCCCTGTCATGTTCATCGACCTAAATCTGGCAGTAGCCGCTGCAAAAATCCATTGATGAAAAATATCGGGCATGTCGAAGTCGATCCAACAAGCCACCTATGCGTGGGAGAGGGTAGACGTCTTTCTTCATCACTTTGTTGAGTTTCCAGCAATGCACGCAAAATCGAAAAGTGTCGCCTTTCTTTGTAACAGGTACGACAGACGACACCCATGGACTGTTCGAGGGTTGGATGACGTCGTCGTCGAGCATCTGTTTCACCTGCGAACGTATCAGTTGGACGATAGCGCGCGACACAAGTTTGCTGAGCAAGAGCACCGAGAGGTTAGTTTCGGCGATACCACTACTCTTGTTGTCACAGTCGCTCTCCACAGTTACCAACAAACTGGCTCGCGGCGGAAGTGCGATGATGTGGTCTGCGCAGCTGTATCTTTTGTCTGGGTGTATGGTCGTCAGAGAACGTTATGAGCAGGTCGCGTTTATAACTGCTCCGTGCTCGGGGAGGAAATCCATTCCGAGAATTAGGTTTTGGGAGCATTCATGCAGTATGACAAAGGAAGCAATGTATGTCGACTCACGAATTTGAAGCCGTGCCGTGCATATTCTAAGCAGTGCCAATAGGTGATTTCCTGCAGTCCGGAAGTTGGGTCCATGTCTGCAAGGTGTCGTTATCTTTTTCAGTTGTGCAACGAGGTTAGTGCTTATCACGAAATAATCGGCGCTCGTGTCTACCAGAGTGGTTACCGGGTGGTTGTCTACAAGAACGAAATGCAAGCAGAGACCCGTTTGTCATCGATGGCATACGTCGGATGTCGGCAGGCTGTTCGGGAGAGGGTCCCGTAGTGGTCGATCAACAGCGACCTTACCTTCAGAGGCCACTGTTCTTAGTTTCCCCGGCACAGGCTCATAGACTTATACTCAGCCACAGCGTTTCTTGGCACTGAAGAGAAAGCTACGGAGGTGGAGCTTCTGCACATGTAGCACTAAGCAAAGTAGTCCATTTTGAGACGCATCTTGTAATGCTTTGGAAAGTGACGGGGGTGCACCATCAGCATTTCATGTAGACGCAGACGCTGCTTAGCGTTTGAGGTGCACGTAAAAAGGCAGAACTTTCACATGCATTCAAAAACACAAAGTAACAACAGATAAATTAAAAGAAAATTGAATATCTTACAGGTGCGAGCTGCACCCTGTCTCAAATAGCTCCACTTAGATAATTAAGGAGGATCATTTATACTTCACGTTGAAAATGTGGGTGCTACTTTGAAACTATCTTTACTGGCAGTGGGATGCACGCGATTTGGCTACATAGCTTTCCCTTCTACGCCAAGAAAAGTTGTCACTGAGTATAGGCTATCATAGTGCAAAGACGTCCGCAAAGGGTGATTGTTGGCCAGGTTACGTGGAGCGCCGTAGAGATGGTGAGGAGGATAGGCGACACGGAAGGTTTCGGGACTGCTGGCTTACCAAGCACTCGGCGATAGCACAGGGCCGCTCACCATCTCTGGGTCGACGAGCATCTGGACAAAAGTCAGAAAGACCCATGTGCCGGCATGCGCACTCGTGGTAGATGTGACCTGGTTCACCACAGTGATAACAGAGAGGCCGGTTATTGGAAGGACGCCACACACTGGATTTCCGTATGAATGGTGGGTTGCTGTACTGTGGTGGTCCTGAGTAGAACGATGGCGCCGTCTGCAGGGTGGACGGACAGGACGGATAGCTGACAGCCGGTGCAGAAGTACGTAATGCTTCCGCGTACGTTAATAGGGGAGCTTCGGCTGGACGCGGAGCATCATGGCTTGGACTTCGGTTCAATCGGCTGGATGCACGGCGATCATAAGTTGCACCAGCTTCCAGACCTCTTCGCGGACGACGTTCATTATAGTAGCAACATAGACTGAGGAGACACTGCGTGCAGTTTTTGCAGCTCCGAGCACACAATACTCCGAACGAGCTCTGTGAGGTCTCTTATAGTCGTGACGTCAGGTGTTGCCAGGGCTCATGACACTGATGAATGCTCATACTTCGATGAATCTGCCTTAGCATTCTCTCCATTGTCTTGCTTTGGGAGAAAATCTGCTACAGTGCTGGGAGGTTTGCACACTAGTCCTGCGAACAACTGCTCTTTCACTCCCCACATCGGTAGGCGCACCTTCTTCTCTACCGTCAATGAGGAGTCAACTTGCCTGAACAGCCGCGACATGTCAACAACGAACATGGCAACGCTCTCGTTCGGGCACCGATATTGGGACTTGAAGAGACATTCCGCTTGTTCCTTTTGGTCAGAGATTTCGAATGTATTCTGCAGCTGGGTGTAAAACTCTGGCCAGGTTGTCATAATGGCTTCACGGTTTTCGAACAAAATGCGCGCAGAGTCCTTGAGTAGACATACTTAAGCTTTCGGTGCTCGTTCCACTCGTTGACACTGGTGCAACGGTTGTAGTCGTCAACATCCTCGTAAGGGTAACTGTGAAATGGCTTCAGGGTTCGCGGGGTGTTGAAGAACCATGGGGGAGGCAGTGTCGATGTCTCGAGTTCGCGTTCCTGCACTGGCCATAGTTCTGTCGAGTTGTGGAAGGGGCCTGAATTCAGGTATTACGCCAGATGTCCCCGGGTACGCCGTAAGTCAGCTGGTTCTTTCAACTTGTTACTATTGCCAGGATCCTCCTGCTGATTGCAGTGCATGCAACACTACCCAGCACCTGCACCATAAAATGTCATGCGATTTTAGATAGAACACAACGTCTGTTCACAGGAGCAGCAGCACTGGATGCCGAGCCGAACTGATCACCATGAGCATGAGCCCATCGCCCAGTGTTCTTCTTTGTCACAATGGCACATAGATGCATTGGCATGGCTCAATCTCGTTCAACACCCGTGGCAATATCCTTAACACCGGTTCGTTCCCTGATATATTGTGCTCTCTTCTTGTCTCTTGAGGTGACACTTACCATTTTCCTTTCCAATGCTCACTGTGCCGTCCTGAATTCAAGCTGAGCCCCCTTTTCGAGTCTCAAAATTTCTGCTTTGTAGTAAAGTACCAGCAAGATGCCGGTGTTATATACCCTCCTCTCAAGGAATAGTGGCAGTCTACCAGTCATTATTTGAGTGCTTGCCGAATGTTCTCCACCCCATTCTTATTCTTTTTTAACTTCAATCTCATGGTTTGGCTCATGATTATTACCTGTCCTAAGTAGATGTAGTATATTACAACTTCATGTGCACTATTACCTATCTCAAAGCAATGTTTTCTTCAAGGTTGCTGTACATTACTTTCGTTTTCTGCAAGGCAAATTAATGTTAAGAGCTACCTTTGTGCTCTCCTTGTCTAATTCAGTAATGATGAGTTGCAATTAGTTCTTCGAGTTACTCAGCAATGCAATGTCATCATCAAAGCGCAGGTTACCAAGGTACTCTCCATCATGACGGGTGTACTCCAGCGCAACCAGAAGCACCAGGTGTCAATGACAGGAGGTCCTGGGGAACACATGGCCAGTCAACCTGCAACTTTCGTGGCGGTCCTTACCCAGACGACTACACCGTCAAGACCTGCAGATAAAGGGAGGCGATCCAGGGCTGACCAAGCAGTCTAAGATGAGCGAACTGCATCAACTCACGAAAGCACCTTCACTACAGAGGAACCTCGGGGTTGTGCTGCTACGCCACGCACTTCGCGGTTCAGCAGGAGGATCTGCAGGCTGTAAAGACTCAACCTGTGAACATTGTTTTAGTTCAGTCCAACAGTTTGGTGCATATGTAAGTCCTACAGTAGACTCACGATACTTCAAACTCTGATAATTCATACTTTGGGTTAATTCAAACAAAATTCATTTTTTTGGTTGGCCCTCTATTCTTTCACTATATTTAAAAGCCTCTTAATTCAAAGTCTGTCATTCAGTTTTTCATACTTTTTGCAGTTTTATACCAAAAAATATCTGCTGCTTTCCCACTACTATTTAAATATATGTGTGCTTATATAATCCTAACAGCCTAAAAATTAAAAATAAGTGCCTTAGGTCTTCAAAGAAAAAGGCTTCGCCAGTAAAAAAAACAAGTGTTTGAAATGAAGCACGCGCATGGTGAACTGTGATGCATATCTACTGGTATAGAGAGTTTTTCGCTGAAGGCACAGATAGCAAAGAAGTAGTTGGCAATTTCAGACTTCTTCAAAATGTCTGATTTGCAGTAAATGGCTGATAAACTTGTGGCCCTTACACCTCTATTTTCCGTTCATTGCATGGAGTTGGGCGTTAAACTTTGAAAATGATTAAATCTGATAAAATCAATGCCTAATCATAATGTATAATGTCACCTGACCCACAGTCAGTATATCCGAAAAATTCTGGTAATTAAAACAAAATGCAGAGGTCTCTTCAAATTTGAATTAACCAGAGTCGATTGTAGTTTACCGTGGGGCGATGCAGTGTACGGCAATATCAGTAGATGGCTGTCTATTGATGCAGTGTTCTGCAGTACTGTCAGATGGTAGCACAGCAGGTACAGAGTTCTACATTAACGGCTGCAAATAAAACATGACATCACTTGTCCACCAAGAGACTCGGCTGCCGTGTCGTTACTTGCCCGATACGCTCGCAGTGCCGACTGTTCAATCTTGCATCCATACGTAGGCGGTTCGATACATACACAGAAATGGCCAACAGTGTGTTCGGTGAGCAAAAAATGCTTCACATTAAAAAGAGAGATTAAAAAATACTCAAATAATTTATTTCCACATGTACACCTTTCACTTAGACAAGCATTGCCTCCAACAATGTTCACCAACGCACAACAAAGTAATCGCGATCCACAATCCACCTTGGCAATCCTGCCGCACATGCCCCAACTGTTGAGTGGTCATGACACTTCATTTACACATTTAATTCTTATGGTGTAGTTTACACTGCCCGTGTTTGCAGAGACTTGTTGCTTGTATACAGATGTATTCTTTCACAAAGACCATTCATGTACAATCATGAAATGCGAATTGAGTGTCATTGTTACATCCTCAGTGTGGTCTGCAACTCACAATTAGGTCTACAACACAAAAACACATTTACTGTTGTTCACTCCAGTGAGAGGTTAGTGCAAAGCAGAACATGCAACTATTTCCCCTCATCGCCTTCTAAACCCTTTGCTAAAGTTCCCAAGCACTTCGTAAAAATACCTAGCAATACACTGACATGATTCCCTTGTAAATAGAGGAAGGCATGTCGATGGACTATGCAATAACATCTCCTATACTTCTACGTGAACCACCATTAAAACAAGTTTACTACCAAAATAAACGCCCATTAATGCGAATATGAGCCAGCAGAGCAGTCTAAAACAAGCACTGGAAAAACGGTCTTAGAAAAGCAGTCTGCAAATGACTTGGAACTAACTGTTTACGTGCCTATCATGTCACATAATTCTGGGCCGATTAGAACGAGACGATGTTGTTTCTCTTGAGCCTTTCATGGAATTACCATAAAGCTAGCGCTCCCTTGCTTTTTTCTAAAGATTTGAAATATGCACCAATCACTGAGCAAGCACCCCCCTCCCCTCCCACCTTTTTTGTTTCTTTTTGTAAGCTTGTTCTCCGTCACAGAATCCTAGGAACCCCAGAGTCTGTAGCTATGTGCATGATTTCTACGTAGCTTTATAGCCATGTGCCTCGCGGTTGCATTCTCAGCTGTTGGAAACCGTCGGAACATACGAAGGCCATCTTTTCCCCTCGTCACAAAAGTTTCACGCGAGGATTCCCTCCAGTTAAGCAAAAACAGTCATGCAAATATGCATGCATATTCAATAGAGCATTTCATTAGAAGGACAGGTGCACACTTTTCACAGAGGTTTTTCTACCGCCATCTTGCATTTTAGTCCATGGTCGAGTAATGCTCCCCCTTCAAAGTATTTTCCGATTATGTTTCACCACAGGAATGGGTGCTTCCTTGGGATTTTACAATAACTTGAAGTCGCAAACAAGTTTATAATATGGTAAAAGAGAGATTCCACACTAGAATCAAAGCAAAGCACCAACGAATTACTAAATAGCCTGAACAAACACGTAACATAAAGATTATTTTTCATTTTCTCGAAAATAATGTTTCTGAGCCTTGAAAGTATGCATATTTTTAAGCCACAGGGCTGTTAAATAAGATATCATATTTTACGTACCAAATACCATCTGTAGTCAAAAAAGGGCATTTCACATCTACCATCGTGGCTGCAAGTGGTTCCCACACTAATACCAGTCACATGAGCCCTTTTGAAAGGCCATCCCATTGATGGCCATCGAAACGCCACCACTCTTTCAACTTAATGAAGCTGTCGCGCTGCTACATCGCAGTTTTCAATGGCCACTGAGTACTTCAGGCAATTCTCACGAAAATTGAGTGGCGCTGTGAATCTTTATTTTCGTTTCTGTGTCACCTAAAGCTAAATAATATTCACTTAAAAACTCGTATAGGTCTGCTGATGTTGTTTAAACATTTCAATAAACTGTTTGTTATTGGTTATGAATGCATATTTAGCTTTTAGTTGTTGAGCAACATAACTGTGGAGAGTGATACATGGCAAGCAAGTACAAAGACGATGAGCACGTCGCTGTTGTACGTTTCATACTTGGCAACCCAGTTGTGATGAACTGTGAAAGTCCACACACCACTCAACAAAGCTTCTACAGTCAGTCAACCATAAAAATTTACGGACCACGTGAGCACATTGCCAAGAGCCTTGTCGCGACATTTTTGCTACATCAGCGGTGATCTGACAGCAGCGCAATTTCCAAGATGCATCCCACCCTTAGTCGACACCCTGCCAATTTTCCCTCTAGGTGCAAATATTTTCCAACTTTCATTTTTAACACGACACACTTTTTGGCAGCTGTGGCTATTTGCTTCTGTCTTGAGAGCAGTCTGTCAGAAAAACTTTAGTTACAATCTTTCTCACAAAATGATATAAATTCCCACCAGCCGAAACATGCTGCGTTATTCACTAAAAGAAGTACCGTTTCCGGCCCAGCGCTGCAGTCGACAGTAGGTGGCACAGACAGGCTCTTTGGCACATGCTCGCGTGGTCTCTAAGCTTTCGTGGTAGACTGTACCAGCCAAAGTGCGAGTATTGATCGCACTAATAGTGTTGAACACTTGGATACAGTGTTGAATACCATTGAATACACTGTAGGGCAGGGTGGTACTAAACAGATGTCACAACAGAACTTTTTCAATCTGTAGCTCATGAGGCAGCAGTTGTGTTGACTTGTTTCTTTAGGTGTCCCATGAGTGTCACAGTATTTAGCATTTAGAGTTAAGCCAATGTAAGCCGATCGGAATTGCTCCTACAGCAACCACATCCCAGCTTTGTTATTGCAAAGTTGTGCCTCAGTTGACTCTATGCACCAAGAATGTCACATAGTCAGCTTTGTCATGGATGATAATATGATATTGCTTTAGTGCAGCTCAGTTCTCATTATCCTGTTTCCCCCCCCCCCCCCTCCTTTTGATCGTATAGCATCATTTCTTCACGCTCAAACTGAGCTGTGCTAAAGCAATATCACGCACCAACTCGCTGTCATGAATAAACTTCTAAACATTTGAGGTGAAACATATCGCGGAAAGAGAAGGATGCAAGTCTATATTTTCATCTTCATTGACATATCAGCATTCGCAATAATAAATAACTGTTCAATAGATAAAAGCAGCAAAGACAAGACCTTTTGATGTGTCAGCAATAACTGCCTACACAGAGCTTGAAGGGCTCGCCACGAGGAGGAAGGCTAGAGAGCAACGAGACATGGTCAGTGGCACTCATTAGCTTGTCCACCTTCAGGCTTGCAAGAACACACGGTACATGCACACAAACAAAAGATTGTCAGAACAAGTGCTTTCTGAACGTGAATTTAATGCTATAAATACTATTCCGAAATCCGAATACAATTGCACACCAGATGCTGGAAGTGTGCCACATCACACACATATACAAAAACAGCCCGCATATGCAAGAGATGTTCGCATGTCTGAAATTGAAGCAGAGTAAAAATTGTCCACTTGATATGCCATTATTCTATATACGTTGCTCAAAATACGCACAATAGCTATGCTAGGCCTTAAACTTCTACTATTACACATTCTCCGTGTTCATTTCTTTTTCTCAGTTGTGTTTGCATGCATAGTATCTAAAAACACCGTGATGCAGTCTCTCTCTCTCCTGTTCATGGGTGTTGAGGTGCTTTCTGCTGGGAGACGTCACCGTCATGACTTGATGACGATGAACTGCGCCGCTCATTAGTGCTGCTAGTGGGGTGTTTCGAAGCTGTGCTTGCCACTGCCGCCCCAGGTGTCTCTAGGCACTGAGCTGGGCACTCAAAATGGACGCAATGGAAAACCTGCGTGGACACAAACAAATGCATTCCTTGTTGAAACTAACATAGTCCTTGCGTTGGGTGCCTGCTTCAAAAAGTTCCCAGCAATTATGTAATTTGTGAAATTTGATTTGTAAGACCATTACAGAAGTGAATTAAATGTATGCGCTTAAAACTGAGAAATCATTATGAAGCAAGGCGTGGTGAGAGATTTTGGATTATTGCAACCAGCTTGTGGTCTTTTAGTGACGAAAAAATACCCCTGGATGAACAGGGATACAAGGAAAGAACACAAACACAGATGCTGAGCGCTGTCTTCTTGTGTACAAACAAGCCAAAATTTCGACTGTGCAGGTATTTTAAAAACAACTAAATGTCAGCACACGGCTATTTTTGCCTTTCAGCCCCATCAGAGAGTAGCTGTGGTAGCCGAAATTAAGCCTGTGTTTTTCAGCTCAGCAGTGCAACCTTAAGCTGATATGGTAGGTGTAAATTTTTTTAAGGAGAAAACAGTACGAAGTGGAGAGAAGCTCATTGCAACTGTTTATCACTGCTCCAAAAAAACACAAAAGGCACACGTGGTACATCGTAACGAAAAAAAAAAAACAGCACTGAAAATGCGGGGACAACAAAGCACGACACACAACGCGCTACTAACAACAATTTTTATTGGGGCAAGACAATATATAATAAAACAAGCCTGTTGTCACATGTGCAGATATGTGACAAGAGGCTCGCTAAGCTAACAATAAGCTTTAATAAAGATAAACATTACTCCTCACTACAGTGGACTCGTTAACAAAATACAAGCAACTCGGTACATGTGAACTTAAAATGCATTATCCAAGAAACTGATTTCTTTTTTGCTAAGGGATAACAATGCTGTGCTGACACATGCATCACCTTTAGCGACAACTGGGTGAGCTACAACAACAAGCCACATAAATTCTGGGTGATTATTAGCAAGCACCTTGCACGAAGGAAGGTCCGAAGAACATCCGCACTTTGCACAATGCAGAACCATGTTGCTTCTTTGTTTGTGGCTCAAATTATTCAAGTGTTCTCCGAGTTGCGTGTTGACTGCACCTCCCCAGTTGGCCGATGTAAGTTCGATCGCAGGACAAGGGACCTCATACACCACACCCATGGCTAACTTCATACGGAGCCTTCTTTGGTCCTTCTCAGTTGACATACTGTCCAACTTGTTGGGGGCTGATCCACGACTGGAATTCCCATTTACCCAGCTACTTCCTTGATGCCATGCGAAATCCCATGAATATAGGCACTCCCACTGCCTTTCTTCTAGCCTCGATTTTTTGGGTGTGTGATAAGTAAAGGAGAGGCACGAGGCGCATGTCGAAAGTAAAAGCGCGGTGGGGGTGCACAAGGAGAAAAGAGTCACCAGAGGGAACACGCACCAGACACGTAGACGCAGAAGATTGGTTGGAGAAAGGCTCGAAGCACGTGATCCAAGCCGAGAAAAAAAATCCCCAAGGATGAGCTGGCACTCTGCATTGGGACGCCGAGCTGCGAAGACATGGGAAACGAGTGCCGCTATCGCGACAAAAGCAGTAGAACCGCCCGGTTCTGAGGCTGTCGATGAATAAGCTCGGGGAGTGGCCGACGATATCGTAAAGATAGAGTAAGGCTGCCCGGACTTGCCGCAACATGTCACAGGAGTTCCTGGGTGGACTACAGCTCCTCCGCTTCGATCCAGAACATATGCAGGCCCGCACCCCAACCAAGACGCCGTTGACAAAATAGGCGTAGTCCAACTGATACGGAGGATAATACGAAGACCGGAACCAACCGATAATGAAGTTGAGTGGCTCATTTGGCGAAATAAGACTATGACAGTAGGAACTTGGGGAAGACGTCAACGACAGAAGCGACCAAGCGCCGACACAGTAAGGGCAACGAGTCGCAGCGCGACAAGCCGTGAGAGTACTCCTTTTTAGACACTATACAGTCGAACACTGATATATCGAACTCGATGGGAATCGCGAATAAGTTCGGTATATGAAAAATTTTATTTAAAAAAATACAGGCCCCGAGAGCTTACCTGTAGCGGATCATCACCTCCAACAGGCGCATTCAATATTGACGACTCATTCCGCATACTCGCCGTAACAGAATGATTTATTTGCATGAAAAAAAGATGGCTTATCTTTGGCCTGCTTTGTATTTGAAATGTTCAAGACGCTAGTCTCTATTTTATCAAGGCTGTCCAGGTGGAATAGCCTGGTTCCCTTCATGTGGCCAAAACAACGGTGAATGATGCCAAATGCTGACACCACTTCAGCGGCGGAGTACGTACATGTAGCCAGCGCCCGTCCAGACGATCCCCCTCGTCACATGAGCTGTCAGCCTTGGCATCCTGAGTCCCTGCGATCGCAGCATACTATGTCCTTGTCAGTGAGGCTCCCAATGGCCTGGACATTGCAGTCCGCTTTCACAAAATCGTTCGCAGACACTTCGTGCGGAACTGCTGCTGGGAAGCGGGACGACAACTCGCGAAACGCATTGTCTATGCGCTCGTCCTCGTCTTCACCGGTTTCTGCCAGTTCCGCCGTCTCGAAACCAGCCTTGCGAACAGTTGACCACTGTGTCCATTTTCAAGTCTCGCCAGGAGTTGAAGATCTCCGCGGTAGAAAGCTTAGCGGAGATATTCGGCTACTCTTTCGCCATCCACTGCTGGGTGTCCTGGCTGCTGACAGTTTCGCTTTTGTCAGAATGCGTTTTGCCAACGATGCTGTAGCGCTGCTTAAATCGGTGAAGCCACCTAGTATTGTCGGCAAAGTTGTTTCACCGAGTGCAGGGCAAACCATTTGGCCTTGATGATCAGCAACGGGCCATCCACCGGAATGTTCTTTGCGCGCACTTTTAAAAACCAAGCATAGAGTGCCTTTTTTACATTGCTGTGGGCAGGAGCGCGCACATGACAGGCTCCCGAAGTTCACTGCTCCGCCGCCCTTTCCTTGATATCTGCTTTGTTCTTCAACAAGGTTCTCAGAGTGCTCCGCAGTATCCCGAAGTCATCTGCACGTGTCGAACATTTCTCGCCTGCCTCACAACGCTGAATAGCCTTTTACTTTGTCGCAGTTAAGAATCTTGTGCTTCTTTACGCTGGCCATAAATACACGAAAAGTCCACAATTCAAGGAGTCCGCAGCAGCATTGTACACCACTCGCGCAAAAGAGAAATGCTGCACATGCAGAGTGGTGGTAGTGGTTAGGAGAGGAAGAAGGTGCCTGATTTCTGCAGCCCAGTAGGGAGCGCAACGCAGCGCCTGCGGTACATAGGCGACATGTGAACGGAAGCAACACAATACTTTCGAGGCGATGGCCACCTCCGAAGGCAACAGTGAAAGGCGCGAGCTGTGACTGACTGATCAAAACTAACAAAACAGCAACAAAAAGTAAAAGAAAAGGCGAAAGAAGGAAGACGACAGCTCCTTCGTTCCTGCCGACGGGTACGCGTAGAAAGAATGAGAGAGAGAAACATAACAGAAAAAAAACGCGCTCCGCAAGTTAGAGATTGTGAAGTCTGAGCCCTCTCACCCTTACCTTTTTTTTTTTTGAAGCGTTTCGAGTTTTGGTGGAAGTTTGGTGCCGTACGGAGGTCGCTGGGCGCTACGAGTTCCAAAGCGCACCTTCCACTCGCACGCGGAGCCTCTCTCCCGCGGATATCGTGAGGCGCGGCGAGTGCCGAAGCGCACCTTCCAGTTCGCGCGGTGTTCGATATATCCGAAGGTGGGTAAAAATACCGTTCAATATAAACGTGCGAATTTCTATAATTTTACGAAGGAATTTCAAGGGCATAACTTAGGAGTTCGATATACCCGAAAATTCGATATATGTGGGTTCTATATATCCGTATTCCGACTCTATTGGCGTAAGGCTAGTGGCTAGGGCTAGCAATGGATTAAGAATGAGCTACAATCAGTTTGGGTTTGCGCATGTGCGCCAATGATTATTGAGAATTATTGAGTTCTCGGTTGTTTTTGAAACAGTGAGTACTTTCAGAGTTTTTAGTTCTGTTGAGTGTTATTCAACGCAAATTCTGTGAGCTTCTTTACAGCACAACACCAGAAACACAGGACAGCGAAGGAGCAAAAGAGAAAGAAATGAGAGCGCCGTCTTTTCTTTCTCTCTTGCTCCTTCCCTGTCCCATGTTTCTGATGTTGCGCTGTCAGGGTTCGTACAGGTTTCCTAAGCGAAAGTTCAAGGATATTCAAGGACTTTGCAGGACCTGTTGCAAGTTTTTCAAGGACTCAGATCGGCATACAAAGTTGAAATTTTCCACTCTAAGATTCTGAAAAAAGATCTTTTTTCTTGCACTTACAATAAATATTTGAACATGGCATTTATAATAAAAAGTTGTCTTAATAACTTCTCGCACCCTCTCTCTCACTCTCAATAGAGAGAGAGCACGATGCTGTGTCAGAGAGTCATGCGGTGATGGGCTTTAACGTGTATGTGTAGTCAGGCCTTAAAGGGGTGGTGCCACAATATTTGTGGCTTGCGAGCTCTTTGCTGCACACAATATACTATAGCTCTAACAAGCACAATACATGCACCAAGATTCAGTTATTCTCGCTATATATAGTTTATCGCCTTATCAATACGGAAAATATTCGGTTCCAGTTTGTGGGCACTAAGTTGAGCAGGAACATAGCAGTGTAGCTGACTTAGTGACTTGATCCCAAAGCTTTGCATGCGTCATGCAGAGCATCATCTGCTGTTGCACATATGTGCCACACAAGCACTTGTAAAACGAACCCGCCACTAGCAGCTGCGATGATTTGCTGGTACGTACACGGCTGAAGTCCAGAGGCCACTGACCTGACTACATATCTGGTGTCACATCGCTACAACTTTCGTTGCCCTTCCTATAGAGCTACGTCAGTGTCGGACGTGCACGTAAAGGGCCCCGATTAGGAGAATGAGCATTTAGGTACACTTGGAAAGTGACTTAAAATATATTCTGAACGTTTCCGAAGCCCAACAATTCATGTAGAGTGTCCTTGCCTATATACACCATTTTCCAAACCCCCTCAAGCGCTGCTATATTGGACTGATAACGTAGCAATTAAGTATTCGTATCAAGTAAAAAACATTGCTACGGTGAACTCACATGCAGGAAATCACTTTGCCGGCACATTCAATGTTTCATGACCAACAGCATTTCATATTGTGACATAGAAAATCTGCAAAACAAACGCTTATCAGTCCAAGATGGCGGCACCCATGAGTCGAAAAGAAAATCGTGGATAGAGAAAACCCACACGGCGCTTGCTATAGTCTTGAAATTTGATGGCACCAGCCAATTAATAGCGTTAGCTTGTGTACATTTGGTACTTGTAACATGTTGCTCAACAACAAGCAGAACTGTAACAGTAGTTAATTTAAACTCATCCTGTGGACACATGAGTGTCTTTTCTAGCATTCTTCTTGGTTTGCTTCTAGTGTCGAGCTGTGACAATTGTTCCTCAGCATTCGTCCTATGCACTTTCTTTTCGTGTGTCCTTTGTGCTTGAGCGGGCCATTGCATGTATATGGTTGCTTGCCCTTCTTCATGTGACATTCTAATTTCTCGCTATCACGTTTACTGCTTCATTCTCGCGATGGAACTAACTCTTTCTTCACATGCATTTTTTCTTTCACATGCATTTTCGCAATATGGGACCATGTGTGCCTACGCCGCATTACTGCTTCGAAAATGGGGAGTTTGACAGGTTGACACGCTGATAAACTACATTTAGGAACTCCCGATGTTGATACGAGAGTATACTGCTCCCAAAATTCAAGAATTTCAAGGATGGCAAAAAACTGCAGGACTCTCAAGGGCCTTGAGAATGCATTTTTGAAATTCCAAGGGTTTTCAAGGATTTCAAGGACTTGTACGACAACCCTGGCTGTAAACATGTTCACAATAAATCCTAGCAAACTGGCCTAACCTACCGTCTTGTTGCAAATTCTGTGTATTGTTGTTCTTGTCCGTTTCGGGTGATAAGGTGTGTTTCTCTTGCCACACTCGCGTCTATCTCTCAAATCCATCCTTTGCAAGTGCTCCCGAGATAAATTCAGGACAGGGTCGGAGTGCGCATCGCCCTATAGGGACAGCAAGGTCACCTAAACATGATGGGGGATGCTTCTCAAATTTATTTGTTTTATAGCTGACATGTGATTTTCTGTACATTGCCTTGCCACATAAACATTGCTGCACATCATGTGTGTCAAAAGGTGCACTAACCTGGACTGTGTTTTCTTGATCGAAGGCCTTAAAAAGAGTTCATTTTATGCCATGTCGTTTCAGACCACTTCTTCTTCAGGGAATAGAACGGTGTCCAATACAGCATGGACTGCTTAGAACGTAAGTCACCGGAGTCGTGAGTATCCGCACCGTAAGCGGTACCACGCTCCAACCGAAACAACATTTTTCAAAAGCTGCATGTGTGCGCAACCTGACCAACAAGCAGGCAGTTACTCCAACTACGGAGGCATGCGACTGGGTCGCAAAATTGCATTCACTTAAATTTGAAAATGTTCAATGATTAGCAATCGTAGACCTGCAGTGCCGACATAACGAGAAAAAAAAAAGTGCACCACAGCAGAAACTCACTAACTTGTTGAACCTCCTCATTTATGAGGACCTCGCCGCGGCACCACACTGTGCAGAAACTATATGTCAAACGACAAATGAAATTTTGCATGCTTCCAATTTTCCGAGAGCATGCGCAATGCCGCAAACAGTAATGACCCCGAACCAGCACAGGAGTGTTGCACACGCCCGCCCTCGTTTTCAATGAAGATGTAATTCACTCCTTTCAAACGCAACAGTTAGGTGCCAAATGTTGCGCTGGCTCAGTACCCAACTGAAACTCTGACAGTCTGCAGCCACTACCGACACACTCGGTAGGTTTAGTGTGTTGGTTACAACCAAGGAGGATTAAAAGTATTGCTGTAGTAGAAATCATTGCCTAAGAGTGAAACCGTGCCTCTGGCAAGATGGCGGCCGTCTTACTAGGGGCAAGATTAAGTACCACAGCTCAGCGATTAAGAACGGAGAGTATGCCTTGCACGCTTAATGACTGTAACGTCAAAACTTCTTCGGGTCACATAGTGCTCCAAGCGCGTCTTAGTGCTACTAGTTTTCTTTAGTGAGCCTCTTATTGGAGGCAAAGTTCTTGGGAAATTCAGCCAGCCATAGTCATTTCTGTGTGTTATTTTGTCGGGAACAACTATCTTTTAATATAGAGCTAGCGTAAGATTTACACTAACATATCAAAGGCACTTGATCTTGAAGGGGGCACTACCAGAAAAGAGCATGTTTCCGCCATCTTGGTAGTGGCGGAACTTCCACTCCAGCAATTTTTTTAATCATCCTTGGTACCAACCTGGCATGCCGCTGTGAGATGTTCGCCCAAGAAACACGAAGATCACGTATAGAAGTGATGGCCCTCACAAGCTGAACCAAGGGCAGCGCCCGTAAAACAAAGTTAAGGTGCGCAGTCGGGAGAGCGAAATTATCATGAAAAAGAGTCTTCTAAGCTTGTAGGCCCACCTGTTGGTGGTCGAAGGCTCGATCACGACTGAAAGAATCCATGGGAGGGTAAACGGGAGTCAGAAAAACACGTATTACAGCCAGTCCTGCACTGTAAGCAGTTACGTTCTAAATGGTCTGCACTGCATCTTCATTTTGTATGTAATTTATTTCAAATATACTGTATTCGGGCGAATGGAGGACATGAACTTATTAAAAGAAACACAAAGCAGTAAGAAGAAGTAGGAAAGTTGGCCTCTTTGTAATCGAGTTTCGACACTTTCCTTCAGTAAGTGCCTACTCACCCTAGAAAAACTACCTAATTGTGCAATGTAAGCACACGTGATAACAAAGCAACTAGGACACAAATGAGAAACGTTTTGGGTGAGACTATGCTGGTTGTTTTTGTCATGATTGTTGATGCTGTGCAGGTTTAACAAATTTGGTTCAGTTCGATTAAAACAGGTTGAGTATTTGGCTAATTTTTCATTAGAACTGCCTTTTTGAGATAACGTTACAATATCGAATCGCCTCATTTTTATTAGAACTGGTTTTGAAGTTGAAGATGTGCATACACCTCTGTAAATTTAGTTTTGGTATCTGCATTTCTCTATTTCTGAAAAAGAAAAAAAAAATGCCAGATATGTCTTTATTTATGCTCTTCACAGCAGAAACTTTAGTTTGCAGTCAGTGCTACGCGTGGTTGTATGTGTGCTTTTATTGTCCTGGTCGTTCATGCTGTTTTCGCTATCATATGTCCAACTAACAAGTCCACCCTTCAAGAAAGGGAAAAAGCAAACAGGACTAGAGCTGACCCTCGAATGAACTTCTTTTTTATTGGAAAAGAAATAATAAATATATAAGACTTATCACCAACACATGGCCAAAAAAAGAGGCCTAATAAATACAAATACAGAAAAGAACTTGTCAGATTGTGTTCTTCTGATACAGAATTTCATTGAAGGGTTAGTGAATAATTAAATTGAACATCCTCAGGTTTATCAACCTGAGGATGTTCCACTTTTCTTCTGATTTGAGAAGCTTTGACAATTTCTCTGGCGATCTGTAATGCATTAGAATCATTGAGTATTCAAAATGGGCAGAGCAGCCACACACTCATGGCCTTCAGTTAGTGTGCTCTTTGAGAGTTGGTTCTGTTTGCTTCTTCCCTTCTCATGCGTGCTTCAGTTTATGCTTGACCGGACGAAACCAATGTGTTACATAAAGCCATTCAGACCTCGTTTGCAGTGTTGTGGGTGCCCACGATGCGTATGAACACGACAGGCTGTCGAGGGAAGCGCAGAAGCTGCCACGACCTGCACACACAAACAGTATCCGTGGTGACCCAGCCACTCTAGTGTGGGGGCAGGAGAGACACTCATTTGTAGCAGAAGAAACTCTGTTTAGAAGCTGCTTTGAAGCAGACAAATAATGGAGCCTGGGAGTAGTACAGCAACAAATGTACGATTATTTATTGCACACTCTTATTATGAGCAACCATGAAATGAAGCTCTACTGCAGCAAATATGTGCATCAGGTGAGAAGCAGTTCAAAAGTATTGCTGCATACCGAGAGTGACCTGTTTCACAATGAAGGTGCCCGACAAGTGCTAGGATACACACGGGCAGCGGCACCACTTCATTTTGCAAAATATCTAACTGCTCTATGTTCAAATCTCAAGTGGCACGAATGTGCCTGGTTTTGAAAAAAAAAAAAAAAAAAACGCCAGACATTATATATAGCATGTATAACCAGTTTACAGCATCAGCTGCCCACAATAGTACAGCCCACGTGCACGATAAGCATAAGGGCTCAGTTAACACACCAGTAATAAAAGCGGCTTTTTACTTTTTGAGCAGCATTTGCAGCTGAAAAAGTACTATTTTGAAACAGCCACACATGTTTGCATTGCAGAAAAAAAATGGTAGTTTAGAGCAGCTATTAGTGTTTTAGGAGCAGACTACAAAATATCCCATACAACTCCTAGAATTTAAAGCATCACTGAAGTGTCACATAAATATTACTATCTATTATGAAAAATGTTTCACAGCCTACAATCACCATAAATAGCAAGAAACAAATTATTAGGTTGCTAATCGAATGCCTGTGGTATGAGCATATTCAAAATATGATCTCAGTCATTTGCACGTATCACAGAAATAGCCTGCATGTAACATTTAAATTATCTAAATGATCTGGGAGCTTGATATATTATCTCTGATAGCATAGATAAAATAAGAGGCAATAAATTTGCATACTAACTTGCTAGCACCTTAGTATTAAGTTTCTTTAGGACACAGTTGAGGTAGCTAGTCTTCATTTTCTCAGTGCCATTTTGGAGCAGTTATTAACAAAAATCACACTTTGGGGCAGCATGTAGCAGCGGTTTTCTTTCGGAGCAGCACTTGCATCGCTGCAAATAATTTCTCTACATGGTCTTTTAATAAGCGCACCGAGTTTTGCGACCATAGACAAAATGTCAAGCCGTCAATACCGCAGATCCCATGCCAACTACAGTCAAAGCTCGTTTTAATGAAGTTGAAGGGGAGACGTAATCACTTCGATATAACTACTAGTTTGTTATAGCCCATATCCATTTCTACCGACAATTAGCCAGCAAGAAAGAGTGTGCTCACCACCGAATAAGCCTGCCGTGCAGAAAAAAACGGTCGTCAGAAGGCAAAAAACTAGCCAAATAGTAAAGAACAATGCACTTTAGTCTAATTCAGCAAATCAGATGGCAGATCACTTCGAAGAAAAGTAGTCCATAACAGACTTTTGAAAATTTTCTCACGCGAATGACAGTTTTTTCTGCTGCAGCAGCTATTTTGAGTCCGTTCCCGCCGTCATCCATGAAAGCTCGCCAATACATGATGTAAATGTCTCTCTTGTTTTTCTCTTCAAGTTTGTGCAGCAATTCAATTTTTCAAGTAAATAAACCCTTTGTTAAGTTCATTTTCCTCCTGCCTCGACATAGTTATCCCGAATCTTTGGTGCCTGCAAAGGCCGGTCGCAAAAGTGCACAATTTCCACATCTGACAACTCTTCAGTTGTCATTGCGCTAGCATTGGCACCGACATAGGTGCAGAAAGCGTCGCCGTCAAGCACAACGGCGGCGTCAAGATATGCATCTCACGACGTCGGGGCCAGGCTGCCCGCGGCACCCTCACTGGCGACATCGCCGAAATCTTCGGAAACATTTTTTTTTTCTTGATGCTGGACTCAACGGCTTTCAGCATTGCCGACTACTGCTCAATTTTTACATTTTTGCACTTACGTTTGCCACTGCCATTGCCCATCTCGTGTCTAGCGATGGAAACTGATAAAGGAGTTCTTGCTCTTTTACAGTGAACGACAAGGTTGATTGAGTGATTCCGGAAAGGCGAAAAAAGGCACATAATTTCTTTCTGCCTCTTGAGCAACACAACATAGTGCCTGGAACAAAGCCACAAGGAAGAAAGCCACAATCTCTGCCGTGCCAGCGCAGAGCTGAAAGGGAGAAGGAGGTCAGATGTGCGGGCATGCCAACCAGTTCTACAGGAGAGGGGAGGCCAGCTGACGCGCACGCTTGCACGAGTTGCTGCACGGGTGATTCCATTAGTTCCTGAAGAAAGGGGAGGCAGGGAGACTCCCGTGTGTTGGCAGGCAGCTTCCAAGAAGCTCAAGGGGCGAGTTTTAAATTACCGCAGCTGTGATGAGACGTATACCATCGCGCGCTATAAGATATTGAATTGACGTATACTGAAATAGTTAGTAAATGCTCGTTGTGGACAAAAAATGGTTTGTTATATCCATTGTGAGGAAATTTTTGCTTTCTTAAAATGAGGTTTGAAATACATAGGCATTTATGGGAATTCCCAGAGGAATAAGAATTGCTTCGTTATATCCATTAGTTTGTTATATCCCACTTCATTATAACGAGGCTCTCCTGTACAACACGAAAACGCATAACACGAAAACGCACACCTACAGAAAGAGGGAAAGTGGGTTCTGTGAAGTGTTCTTGGAGCAAGCTGGAGGAAGAGGAAGAAATCCACACAATACGGGCGAGCACAAATACAAGGAAGATGAAGTGAAGCTCAGGCCATGTTTGTGTTAGAAGTATAGTGTTCTTTTCTGTTATGTCGACGATGCGTTACTTTATCGTTACATTTGGTGACAGCGATGGGATACAAAGAATTGACAAACTGAAAGGCAAATGGTGAGTGCAATGACTACAGGAGGTAGACCGCCAACGGCTGTGAAGTTCTAAAAACTTTCATAGCCCCGTTTTGGTGAAGGGAGCACAAAGCACCCGGAGAATCAAAAGTCAGAGGTTGAAGGACGTGCCAGGGTTGAGGAGCTGATTTAGAATGGAAACACTGATCTGTGTGAGTGAAGGGAGACGGATAGCAAAACATGTGGCACAGTGCGCACAAATAGGAGAACGTTTGAGGCGGAGCTTGCATCTTCGTACAAGAGCTTTTTTTGCTGACAGCGTGCCCACTGAGCATTCAACCAAAACTAGTGGCAGCATAGGAACAAGAACAACCCAAAACTCATCTTGCTGCTTCTGCTCCACAGCTCTTGATTGAGTCAATGAAAACTACCCAAGGTGACCACGACGGCCACAGATACGTCGCCGATTGCAACTGCAGAGATCGGCTACTAGCAAGCACTGTGACGACAGAGACCAAGGACATTGATGCACTGAATGCCGAGCTTGCAGGTGAAAATCTCGAACATGTTAAACACTGTGAAGAAAGCTTCCACTGTGTTGTCAGTCGTATTAAGATACAGCATCTACCGTTACCAGCACTGACGTACCACAAGCCCATCTTCCAGAAGCCCTCGCCAGAGGTGAAACATATGGTGATGCTCAGTTAAACCTCCATACAGATAATGTGCACAGGCAGAGCGATGTGGAGGATTTAGAAAGCACTAAAGTGAAGCAGCTTGCAATCCCAGTAAATCCCAAGGTAAAAAACTCAGTTTGGAGGACCTTGCAAAGTTCAAGGACCATGGACAATGGATGCGCACAGAAGAAAGCGACAAATGGGTTGAAGGAAGGTCACGAGGCTGCTACAGTCGAATCTGATTATTTCGAACATGCTTAATTCGAACTTACCGGTTAACTCGAACTCACGATGAGGTCCCGTTCTAAGCTATGTGTATTTCAATGGGCAAAAACGCCAAGTAATTCGAACGCGCAAGCACTTTCGATGGTTAAATCAAACATACCGCGCTCCAAAAATGCTCTCAGCACCCCGCCCGATCCCGCGTCGACACGTCCGACACCTCAACGCTGGGCGCAAAAGAAACGAAAAGGAAAGAAAAGGCTGCAGTGGAACGCTTGCTCTCTCTCAAATGTCGATTTGCGACGTGCCTGTGCAGGCTTCTCCCTTTTCCGCCCCTGCCACGTAAAAACCCTTCTCCTACCTACGCCACGTGCCAAGAGAGAAAAAGAGAGACAGAAAAAAAAAAGCTGTCGCGGAGTGTGGTTCTCTCTCACGCTCCGGTGCCCTTTCCCGTCTCTACCACGTAACCCTTGTCTTTTCAAAAACGCGTGCGAAGAGAGCAAAAAAAAAAAAAAAAAAAAAAAAACTGCCGTAGAGTGTTGGTTTATCTCAAATGCCGGTCTGCTTCTCTCCCCGTGGAGACGCTCCTCCTTTCTTGCCACATGCTGGCCACGCTGTGGCTTTGGCGCAGAGGGTGGTAACGGCAATGCAGTCCTCGTCGTCGTCTTTAAGTGTCGGCGCTGGACATTGCCGCGCGCAACTTCTCTTGCTAGGAGAATGCTAAAGCCGAAATAGACATGCTTTGTCAGCTGCGTGCGAAATTGGTTGACTCGCTGCAAGCCAAACATGTACAGATGTGCATCACTGATTACTTCAATTAATAACGGATGTCATGTGATTCGTGAATAAATGTAAGTCTTCTTCAACTTGCCCCTCGTGTGTTAGCTTAATGCACATGCGCCACTGCATGGGGAGCCCTTCGTTTACTTAGCTTTCATTATTTCGAACTTCTTTTGATACGAACAAATTTTCGGGCCCCTCCAAGTTCGAATTATCGAGATTCGACTGTACAGCCAACCAGATACACATCTGTTCCACACACAACGATGTTGTCAATCACAGCGCTGTTTGGACAACGTAGAAGCGCCAACTTATGGCAATGAACATTGTCACTAACGACCTGCTCATGAAGTGAATGCCATCTTCTATACATAGCAAGGTACTTTCGCCACTGCAAGGAAAGGCCGCTACGCAGTACTGTCTCGTCAAAGATGGTATTTTCCAACCACGGCCTACTTGTGAGCCATTAATGCAGACCT